TCAAGTTACACATACTTTCCACATGTTAATTCCTCAGATGAGGAAATTGCTGGTATCCTCAAAACTTGTAACTTAATTTCACAAAATGAAGCAACAATGTGTACTGAATATGTGGTCAGAAGAATTTATGGAAGTTTGTTCACCTCAGAAACTTGGTGTTGATGTGCTTTGCTGAAGACGGCAAAATCCTTGAGGCAACTATAAAACATTCAAGAGCACTAAAAATTTTCTTCAGTATGCTTTGCATTCCCATGCCCTTTCTTTAAATCTCTAGATAAGAGTAACATTATGCAACATAAAAGCGTCATTTATTTATCTCTTGAAGATTAGAATCTTTCCAAAGAAAAATAATTTAGAAATCTTACATTATGTTGATGACATTGGTATAGTTCAAGAATTCTAAAGAGCTGATAGTCAATCAAGCTGAAATGAGATTCCTTTAGGAAAAAGGCAATTTACCAGATTATAAAAACTGGATACATTCTATATGTGCTCTACTTGTGTAGGAATTGCCAGTCTGCAACCAAAAACAGATCCAGAAACTGTAATAAATCATCATTTTTAAGCAGTGTAAGTATGCCTGGTATTTCCTTTTAACAAATGAAGAACGCAAATGTATTTAAAATGTTATTGGCTTGCAGATGCATGCCACTAACTTCTGTGAGAACTGAAGGACTTGAAGACGTGATTTAAGGACTGCTGAACAGCTAGGAACAGTTCATACCAAGGGGATCTGCAAAACAGCGTTTTAACAGCTGGTCCTAACACAGCAGACTTGGCTGTCAGAAGCAGTCTGGAAAAAAAAAAAAACAAACAAACCAACCCAAACCCCACAACAAAACCAAACCAAACCAACAAATAATGAGTTGTAACAAGAACATTAACCCTAGCTTTCTGTTGCTTAAAATAAAGAGACAATAAATCTTTTCAACTAAATAAATTCTCAGATGAACATGGCAACAGCACAAACTTTTGAAGCTACTTGTCATCCATGTATTTCCCATTTATTCCTTAAGGGTGCCCACTTGGGCGTCTCAACCATTAACTGGTTTTTGTCTTGGATACATAAAATCATTCCTTCTTTAGGTTTGATGATTTTCATACCAATTGTGAGTTACTGCCAAACCACAACAATTTGAAAGTCAATAACTGTTGCTTATATAACAACCACATCTGTCAAATCTCCCCATATTAAGACTTGAAAGAAGCTGGACAAACAGTATTTGCTATATTATTTCATGCTATTTGTGTCTCAGGTTAATTAAGAGTCTCACCTTTCACGTCAGACATTTAAAACAAGAAACAAAGAAAATGTTAACAGCTTAAGTGAGTAGATAATTCTAAAATTGGAGATTGTGTCTCATATTGTCTTTACTGGCACTGCTCAGAAGTTACTTTGGAAGGGCATTTAATTACACAATGCCTGGGAAAATGGTTCCTTACGATGCTGAAGGTCACTGAAATAAAATACTTAGATTTAAACAATCATTACAGAAATAGAGGATATTTCAGGAGAAATCTGAAGAGCAGTAAAGTTCAGGAACAAGCAAAGCCATATAAAAAAATCCTTGTGGTTTGCCTCAAAGCTTTACAGATGCAACTCAGCTGGACACCTTTCCACAACAGAGGTATAGAAAATAGAGTGGAAAAGCCAATTGTACAAAAACTACATGGAATATTTCATACAAAATAGTCCAAATACTTCTCATTACGTAACTTTTATTCGAGACACACATTGTAAAAAAGTTCACATGGGATAATAAAACCATTGGAGTGTAAAGGGTTTGGTTTTTTAGGGCTTGTTTTTTTGTCTATACACATCAATACACAACTAATGATTAGGTTTACAAGTTAACCACACAAGTTCACTCTTATCTGCAGGAGCTTTTCACATTACACTGTTATACCAGAGATAAAATGTGCTTAAACACATACAGTAGAACACTTCTATTTTGAATTTAAGCATTTTCTCAAGGACTATATTTTTAATTATGAATTTAGTAGCTACATAGCATTAAAATAATCATAATTGAAGTTTTATTTCAAAAAACATTTGTAAGGCCATAGGAATGCACTAAGATACCTAAATTCAACAGAACCAAGAAAAATCAATGGAAATCCTGCTTTTGTGGAGGAAAGAAATACAAATTTTATTTATAAGAATGAGAATGGCATAAGCAGTTCAGTGACCGAAGGAGAAAAAAAGACTTACTATTGCCCACAGACCAATCCTTAAGAAGTTTAACATTGCAAAATTTCAGTATACATTGATAACCAAATAACAGATGAATTTGCACAAATAACACATTTATGCATTCTACATATTATTCACATACCTATTCATAATATTTTAAAGTGATATGTATATTCCAGACTCCTTTATTCACTTGACTTCAGCAGACTAGTAAAAAAAAGTTACTTACAATGGGAAATACTTTCTGTAAAAAGGACTACAGGTCAAAACAGTCAACTAGCATTTTTGAGACTCTCCCCCAAATAGAAAAGTGATTTAAGCTTTATGAGTGGTTTAAACTTTAGCAATAACAAAACTTCCACACAGTTAATCAAATGTGCTATATACACTCAACCAAAACTTATTGTGCATGTTCTGCTGAGCATAGACTGAAAGATAAAATTGCAAAGGACTGACAGCAGTTTGGTTTGTGTTTGGCTTTTTTTTTTTTTTTTTTTTAAGCATTTAGAAAAATATTGGTCAAGGTATGGTGCACAGATATGGGGCTAAGGGAAAGATTTCATAAAATTCCATAGCATAAGCAGAATTTTTGTTTTATAGACATCCACCAAAAAGTATCCGCCTTTTCTGAAAGGTTAATGGCAATTTCTGGAATAAAACAGATATACATTTGCTGCTTAATGAATAATAACATGACTTTCATTCTCATGAACATTAGAATACTAACTAGTTGACTGAGGTATAGTTAAGAGTCCTTCAAAATCTAGATTATATAGTCTTGAGTAAAGTAGCAACAGAGACTGCACAGAACAATCATAGTGCTATTAGAAAAGCCTGTAGTACCCAGCATCTGATGCATGGGCAGAACATACCATTTATCATCACCCGCTCAGAAAACATAGCTAAAAAATTCCCAGTAAAACATACAGCTTACTTGCACACTAAGATACAGCACATTTTTCAATGTCTGACAAGGCAGACTGTACACAGAAAGAGATCTATACTGACCAAAAGTTAGCACACTGATAAAGTGCAGCTACTCAGACATTTAATACTGCTGTAGAAAAAGGGTGGGGGCCAAACAACAGAGAAAGAGAGAGAAATCTCCATTTTACCTTATCCATAAGACCACATGAAATTAGAATTCTTCTGTTTCAGCAGGGGACAACAAAATTGCATTAAATTCTTCTACAAATAGAAAAAGATGAACTTTACATGAACATTAAGCAAAGTGAAATATTTACTGCATTATTTTATCATGCATAAAGTGAATTTCCTATGGTCTTACCTCACATTTATGTACAGTTTAGCACAGCTAAATGTAAGAAAATAGCAAGTTGTTTTTTTTTTTTTCTCCCACCCCCCCCTTATACAGAGCAGATACCCCAATTTGCTGCTGCTTCAAGAAGCACTTCATAGACTCGACTACTTACAGACTCTTTCAGAGGGAAGTTCATGGAGACTAATATTGAATGAACATTTAACAATACAGCGAGGACAGGAAAAACAACACAAAGCATTCTGTAAATGGTGCCAAACACAGAACATGTCAGTTTTGGTTTGCAGACAACCCCTGAGATAAAAATCAAAGTATTACGACACCAAATAAGTCAGAGGTAAATTACTGAAAATAAACAACATTCATAATTGGTGTCACAACACTTTCTGTAGAGAAGCACTTTTTTTAATCATACAGAAAACATAACTGCTTTAGCCTGTCCAAGAAAAACATCAAGGGTAGACAACAGAGCAGTTAGGGTTGCTTTGTTCTTTCACTAAATCTTGCTGCCATGAAGATTTTTCTGTCTTAGCGCAGCAACAGCAGTTTATGAGCTTTGCCATCTAGTTATTCTAACTGTTTCTATTAAACTACATGTGGGGACAGGTTGACAACCACTTGAAACTTTATGGAACCAGCTACTAACATTAAACCTCTTAAAATCAAAAGTTTTTAAATCTAACACTGTTGGCCCGTTCACTTTATAATAGTTAGAACAGGCTCAGAGATGGCAAATTTAGTACCTGACACCACAAAATGAAGTGGGTATCTGTGGTAAGAACCAACTCACTGCTCACACCTCTAGACAATGTAGTGAAGCAAAAGCAAGCACATCAGACATTAACATGGACGATGACAGAATAGGACCTATCCCCCAGTAACAAACATGCTGCACACAAACTTGTAGTTAAAGCTTACAATGGTCCAAGTTTGGCACATCAACAGAACTAAAGCACCTATTTTAATTGTTTGTTGAGGAAATTTTCCAGTAGACAATAAAAAAGTAGTAGAACAAAGACTAGGTTATACAATTCTCAGTTGAGTAAAAAAGGCAACTGTTTCAACTCTGCTTCTAACAGTCTAGGTCACTGTACCAGATTTTGATGAAAAAATAACTTAACTGCTTGAGCCAACCGAAGAGGGCTTCACATATTCAGCAATAACTGTATAACTAATAGTACACTATAGCCCTAATGTGACCCTTTCCTCAACGCCATAGTTTGATGAACTTAAGCAACCACACAGGAAGCTCGTTTTTGAACACCTCTGTTGCCAAGGGTCAATGTTTACAGACATTAAACTATCCTTAGAGTTACAGTAGAAATGGAAGTCACCTTTCAAAGCAGTCATTTCTGAACAAATGAATCCATAAAGAAGTTACTCAAAACTCATGCATTCAGCTTCCACAAGCCACGTAAGTGATAGTGATGAGGCCAATCCGTGATGAAGATTTCAGCTCCAGAGTGTACTTCCTCATCAGAGACAAAAAAAGGTGCAGACAGTTTGAGCTAACAAAGGGAAGTTACGTGAGGAAAGACATCGTGTTTATTCAAATAACTGAGAGATGCATCTGTGAATCAGACAGTGACTGGCAATTCAGAACACAACTTTGCTAAGACCGGTAAAGAAAGAAAAGCAATATACTACATTCAGAATAGAAGCCATATCTTCTGTATGAACAGATTTGTGCATCTAAGAGGCAAAATTAATACAAAATGTTAAATGCCAATTGTTAGAGTAATTCTCATCACTAGAATGTCAACATCCATGCTGCAGTCATGGCCACAAGTATACAGCATAGAAAAAATGGAAGTGAGACAATTTTTCCCCTGGCTCTTCTGCTTGAAAATAAATTTGTTTAAAAGCGAAAGAAAATCTGCACAAATCTGTTAAGAATCTTACTTAGAAGTCAAACTGTGCAAATACAAATGTGAGATTGTGCTGTAACAGGCAGTAAGAGGCCAACATGGATGTGCAAAGTTAAAAGAAACATAGCAGCTTTTGCAACAGGCAATAAAACAGAAAGTAAAAAAGGAAAACAAGTTAACTCTTGCATTTGTATCTCCACTTCATAGCTTCCGTATCTGAGAAAGAAGAGCCTGACAGATCAATAGGCTTAGTGAGCAAAATCCGCTTGGTATTTTGTGTATCGCAGTCTAGGTTCAATGGAGCTCTCAGCAGCAGCTTGGTGGTATTATTTCTGAGGCTTGTGACCCTGTGCTTTCAAAGAAGCAGAAAAGGTTCTAAGTGTGCTGCAGTCTATCATTAGAAGTTCATCAAAGTAGCGTGCACCGAAAGAAGCTGCTCTTCTTAGATCGGTTTTCTGTTATTTTTACTGGCCCACCTGCCCCTGATGAACTGTTGTCATTCTGAAAGAGAAGAAAGTATCAACATCATAAAATGCAGGGAAAAATTAGTCTCACTTTAGTAGTTCCCCTCCCCACTTCCCCCCCTTTGCAAAGCAATAACCAGAGCAGAGGTATGTTGCAACTTGATCTCCTCAGTTATCCAGAATGCTAGTCACTCGGTGAAACTACCTATTTTAAAAAGAAATATTTGTCCAGCAACAGGGATCTCAAGTATTAGTGGAAGGAGTGACTATGTAATTTAATAAAGCAAGGATCACACTGTTGTATTTCAAAAGAACACATCAGTTTCAGGCTGCCCAGTGTTAATGTCCGTGCAAAAAAACCAAAAAAAGACCAATTACACTCTGATGTGTAAAAAAGTGTGATAAATTCAAACTAGCATCTGCTGTAATCCCCATGAATTTTTTGGTAGAGCTACTACTCAACTAATTATTATACCAATCATTTCAATTAATCTAGTTTGTATGCCAATTGGAAATACAAACCATTTTTCTGTTGAGCTTTGTCATAATGTCTCGTGCAAGTGTGAAAAATGCCTGGTGAGGAGCAGAAATAAAAAAAAAGAAGAGGCGAGTTAGTCACAAGGTACGTTAAAGATAAGACAGATTTGTAGTAGCCAGACATTAACAATGCAGTATTCTGTAGGCCACTGCTAGCATTTCAAGTTGCAAGGCACCCTATGTACTAACAGCTGTTGCTGCATACACCAGTACTCCCCCCTACCATCTAACTGTACTGTGCATCACAACTAGAAACCCCCAGAGAGCTTTGAGGATGGCATGCCTGGGAATTCACATTAAAGTTAGCTTGCTTCCAATATCTCTCTTAATAAACTAGTCAATCTCTCTGGCAAATCTCAGTATCTGAGACTTCAATATATGAAGAAGCAAAAAAACCTTCTGTAGCAGAAAAACTCTGCGATTCTCCCAAAGCCATGAAAAACAAGATTTTAGACTACCTGGAGACATCAACAATATAATGACAGTTCCAGAATGTATTCTGAATATATCCAAAGACAGACACTCATTTAATGAGAATAAAACCCAACAAATTAATTCACTTCCAATCGCAAGAATATCACAATTGTGTCATTTTCCACAAGTTAAGTGTTTGGTGGAAAAAAGACTAAATCACTACATGCTGAATGCCTATACCAGCTTGCATTTTTTACTGTTTTCATCACTAGTCATGTGACTATTCACTGGTTTTCAATATTAAAAAAAAATCCTTGGACAGGTAAGTACTTTGAAGTAAGCACAAACTAATGTTGGATATTTAAGGACCTAAAGGAGTTAAAATGAAATTGCAGGACATGTCATGAAAAAGCAAGCCAACCACCTGGAGGAACTAATGAAGATGGGTACTTTTTATTAGGAGACTTGCTATCCACCATTGGTATTAGCTGCTAATGTTCACACTTCCATCATGGTCTGTAAGAATCATGATGACACTGTGAAAATCAGGTCAAGCACTATTCCAGATGCAGTACCATGCAAATACATCCATTCTAACTATACTGTATAACAATCACCCTGTAATCGGAAAAAAAAGCTTGGCTGGCGCTACATCAGTCTTGTTATTTTAAAGTAACAACCTTTTTAGTTTCTAGTTAATTTGCTAGCTGCATTAAGTTATGTGTGTGAAAGACTTTTAAAAGGTATCCCATCAATACACAAGGAAAAGCTCTTACACAATTAGGTACAGGAACAACACTTAAGGACAAGTCTGCCTTATCTGAATGAATCAATCTTAATTTAACTGCCTTTTGATGTCATATTATTTTCTTGTCCACACTTTTTGGAGTTAAGATCCGTCCATCACCCTCTCTGAGATGACAGGAGTGATTCATGGCGAGTCAGACTGGAGCAGTCACTCCTCCTTCCAAATCCATTTCTTTATGTTTTCGTACATCAGGATCTTGTGTTTTTAGCATGAAATTTATTTGCAGAAAAACAGACTGCAAGTCTGTAGATAGAGTATCATAAGCCCTCTTCCTCCTCTAGCAACAGCTTATGACACTCTACGCTGATGTTCCAGGTTTACATGCAAATCTTCAGTCTCATCTGCATGGCACCTATATAGTAGTAACTTGAAGGCTCCTTGATACAGTAGCATGTTTTTCTGAAAGAATCTTTAATCCAATTTCCTGCACAAAGCACCGTTCTAAAATCACACCTGCCCAAATGCACTTGTAATTTAAGTGTCAAGGCACAGAAGTCTAAAGCAACTGTTTGCTACAATGATAATAAACCACTCTGTTAACATCCATTTAAAAAACAATTCCAGATACTACCATAAAAGAAGAAATGCTGGATTTTACAGTAGCACTCTACACATAACAAGACTGGGGACCCAGGAGAAGAGTTGGGACTTCAGATTCCAGATCAGGTCAGAAAGCTCAGTAAATCACGAAACATGACTCCATAGCAGTAGTTCAAGAAACACACTCAAGTGTAACACCCATCTCTTACCTCTTCCACATTTATGCTGGATTTTGCACTTGTCTCCAAAAATTTGATTCCATAATCAATTGCTAACTGTAAGAGAGGTTAAAATTTTTTCAGTGTGTTTGAAGTTGCTTTGTAAAAGGAATGTTCCATACAGGTTCATAATAAAATAGCTGCTGCATGGTGCAGCAAGCTTTAAAAACAAGACCAAGGCTTAATTTCTGCTTTTCTCTTGCAAAAACATTAAAGTCAGTGGACAATTTGACAGAACAATAGAACAGGCATGTTCTCATGTTCCTCATGTAAATTTGAAACCAAGAGAGACTAATTGCTCACAAAAAGACTTCCTTAGGACCTAAAAGAACTTTAAGATAGAATCAATATGGGTTTATGGGCCAGATAACCCCATAAAATCAACCCATATGCTGTGTTCCTAGCAACCACACTACTTTAGCTGTGTGCATGGTAGATTATATAACAGTCTTTCTTGCTTGTTTGTTGTACAGAACAACTAATTACTTAAGCTTTAATAACAGTACTTATGACAAAATTAATTGCCATGGTGAATTTAGCACAACATGATATAACTATGTGCTTTTATATTGAGATTTAGAATACTTCATGCTACAGCAGAGGCAAACACTCTCTACAGGATCTTCCCCTCAAGACAACAGTACCATCAAGTTTATTCAAACCTGAACATCGTCAAGCGATATTTAAAACAAAACCAAAACCCAAAACCAAACCTGGCACTCTAGAATATATAAAAGCTTCTGAAACAAGATGTTTGAGGCCCATCATCTCTCATACACCAAAAACTCACCAAATATCCAGCAGCCAAAATCCTAAGAAAAGTAGACTTCTACATAAGGTATGTCTCCAAAGCTTACCTTTTCCCCTTTTTCTTTTGAGACTTGTCTCTTCTCATTCATATCACATTTGTTACCCAGGATCATTCTTTCTACATCTGAAGAGGCATGCTGAAAGAAGAAAAAGCAATCTCAGAGAAGCAAAGTGCATTATTTAAAAGACACTTGTGTCAAACTCATCCACAAATGAGTATTTTATTTTTTAAAGAATTATCTAATGTGAATTAATAATCTAAGTAATGACTGAGAAAGAGACTGACTTTTGAAATGGGTAATATCTAAATATTAAAATAGGTTGGAACAAATGCTCCTAGATTAAATTTACCCGAGTATTATGACAGATCAAATACAGTACCACAAGCTCTGTATAAGGCTGTGCACAGGCAGTTGGCTATTCTGCAGATGTAATGGCACACGCTTCAAAGTGGTATGTGAACATCTGGGGGGGGATATTTCTCAGGTATTTGGCCAGAGTATCATTATGCAATACATTTTAATTTTAAAAACAGATTAATAATCTAAGACTTTTTAAGTAATAATGACTTCAGCAAGAGAACTTTTCTAGCCCCATCACTGTGGGATCAAACTGGTCACTCAGATCTCAGGGAAAGGTAGACACCCTAAGATGTTACTCTTTCTCCTTGTTTAGAGACATATAAAAGGAAAAAGAGAATAAAAGAAGTTTAAAAAGTAAGCATAAAATGTTTCAAAACTAAAGTTTTCCACCTCCTAACCCTAGATGAACAAGATAGTATTCTCCACATAAATAACCACTGTGGCATTCAATGCACAGTCTTAATTTGGCCACGTTTGCTACTCTAATGAAAACGAATGATTACTTGATTGTTATTTGTCTCAGGGAAATCCTAAGATGGAACTAGTGCTTTCCAAAGCACCTACCTCCTCTATGTTTCTTATCCAGTTTTTTATGTTGTCAAAAGACTTCTCATTTGTGATGTCATACACCAGCATAATTCCCTAAATAAAATCAAGAAAATCTAGTTAGATGATAAGCTGGCACTGTTGGCTGACTTTTGATATGGGCTGTTGGTTTGATTACAGATGCAAGAAATTCAATAAACTTACATACCTACAAACCTTTCTCAAAGCATTATTCCATTGCTGGGAATTTACCCGAAATATTACTATTTCACTTCTTTTGCCACTGTTAGAGGTCAAACACACCACTTATATGAAGTTTTAAATTATTATTCTTAAGTCATTAAAAGGATAGAAATTCTACTACAAGAACCACCAGGACTTTATTGTTAAGGTCAAGTTTAGAAACAGCAGCTTTAAGCAGTCAAAAGATGACAAACCTGTGAGATCCAATCTGCTGGGGCTGGTAGATACTTACAGCAAAGCTGACACTAGGTGCTCTCCCAGAAGCTTTAGCTCTTTCAGACAGTTATGTACGTACACTAGCGTGGACTCTCAACAATTAGTAAAGCATGGGAAGCCACACACAACAGCTGCATTAAGGACAGATTGCCAGGTTCACCTCCATTCCTTATTGTCATTCCAATCATTCCTCGTAGGACAAAAAAGTCCTTGGCCGTGGACTGGGAGATGGGGAGAAGACCTTGTCACTGCCAAAACCTTTTTAAGTACTAGAAAGCTCTAACACAGAGCCACAATCATTACTATTTCTCCCCATCTGTACTCCGTAACAGTGGAGTTATTTGGACCCACAGCCAGCCTACGAATGGAACAGATCATAGCAAATGCTATGAAATTAATGTAAATCTTCATACGTAGCATTAAGAACCATTACAAGCAGTTTTACCACCAGGAGTGCAGGCTCTTAAGTCAGTTATTTGACTCCAAGCCATTCTTAATGGAGGAAAAAGTACCAGTAGCTCTTGTAGGTGATTGTATCTCTAGCCCAGATTTTGCAGTCTCTATGGGCTGAAGAAAAAGCAGTTCAGTGAAAAACACTCTAAATATTAAAATAATTAATTACATATTTTTCAAACATTTCAAAATGTTTAAGGGGGTTGATTGCAGTAAGAAAAAAACCCACCTTGTCTGATTAAAGCTTGGCAACCTAACTTCTTATAATCTGCAGAATTTTTAATTATTCTAAAAAGGACAACAGAACTTGAAGTTTTATCACAAAACCAGGACTAGACAAAGTACCAGCAGGTTTAAAAAAAGAAAAAAGCCCACAGAACTCCAAACCACAAACTTTATTCCCTGCATCTCAAGCCACAATTACAAAATCCTCCAGCTGAAAACGTACATGATATAACTTGAAGAACAGCAAACCAGTTACACTAGTTGTGCCTAATACTTCTGTAGTACAAGCACTCACCATGGCTCCTCTGTAGTAAGCTGTCGTGATTGTGCGGAATCTCTCCTGGCCTGCCGTATCCCTATAATTCAGTGAAAACAAGTATTTTTCGGAGGTGATCTTTACACACTTCTGTACTTAGTGATGTCTTTGTAAACAGAGTAACAATGTATTGATACTTGCTCATTAAAAAAAACACCATTTAGAAGCTGTTTGCACAAGCTTCTTCAGTCCGCAACATCTTCTTCACTCCCAAGCTACTGTAACTACATCAGTGATTACAGAAGCATCATAAATATGGCACAAAAGCTTTTACATTTTCATACGAGCAATAAAACTCAGCACTACATAGCCTCCCCCAGAACATATTAAAAATGCAGCTCCGATGCAGCTGAGTGCTGTATCAAACAAGAATTAAAACATGCAGCAGTAAAATACTTTAGGACAGTGCACCTTCATGTACAGTTAGCTCTTAAAATCAGCCACTATACCTTAGTGTGCTGATACTTTAGCCTAGATGAGTTCACAGCAGTATCTGTGAGTGAACAAGAGGACCAAAGTGTTGGCTACTAATCACTGCTAGGGGGAGCTGAACCCTAAAGGCCTGATGAAATCCAGCTTATGGACTGACACTGCAGAGAGAAAATATGTATCAACCACTTCTGGCACTTCATTTCATTAGACAAAAGAATTCTGGCTCACATGCAAGTATCACAACTATCTTTTCTAGAACTTGAGGAATCAGCAAGACCTCTGTATTCACCAGTAGTATTTAAAGAGTTTGGCGTGTGTAATAATGCTACTCCAAAAATCCTCATCTGCTGCTATCAGGAAGCTCAGTCTCTACTAACCCACCATGCAAGGAATGGAAGCACATCACTCGCCTCTGTGAGCACAACTACGTATCAAAGTATGAGAGGAGATTACATTTTATTAGGTTGCCTATTTTAGTTTACCGCTATGGAGCTAATACTTCTTTTCCACATGGAACAGCTAAAAGCACACTTAAGAGGACAGCTTTTGATAATATAGGAAGTTGCTGTAATGTTCATATGTGAACAGGCTGTTTCCATGCTACTGAAGCAGAATCACTCTAAAAGCAAGCTAGAAGAAAGCATAAACCCTACGGACAGTCAATGAATAAAAGGTATGAAAATTTCTGATACACCTAGGCTCAAAAGCTATGAAGTATTCCTGCTTAAAGATTAATTCAGTACTCACTGAAAATTTAAATTACTTTGGAATACTTACCATATCTGTAGCTTGATTTTCTTCCCATCTAATTCTATTGTTCTGATCTTAAAGTCAATTCCTGTCAGAGAAAGAGATACTCTTAAGTTTTGCAACAAATGAAAATTAAGTGTCCAGTTCCTTGACAATTTGCTAAGAGCAAACTTAGGCAAGATAATTATTCTGAATTTGTAATTTCTTCCAAACATTAGGAAATGCTGAGGATGCACCAAGGTTTTCACCTGCATCTGACACATCAAGGATAAATTATTCTGCACAATGATAACAGACCAAACTCAGACTCTAGTAGTGAGTCAGACAAGATTATCAGGAAGATTTAACCTCAGCATTCTTCCATTTTACACCAATAAGGTCACAAGTTGTAACGTGTACTTTTCTCAACTTCTGACTAGCCCCTGCACTCCAAGTCAATTCCCTAGAACCTGTGCTGGCTTTGAGAAAGAAATACATGGTGTGATCACATAGTCCTTTTCAAAACTGGCAAACTGATGTTTAATGCAGTCTAATCAGACAACACAGTAAAAGGTCAAGTATCACAGGAGACAAAAGCTATACAGAACTAAAGTTGGCTGAAGTATATCACGCAAGGGACTTTTTCCAAGAACAGCAGTTTAGAAGTTAGATTTTTTAGGAAGCTCCAAAAGATATCAAGAAAACACTTCTCTCCTTTCTCCCCTCATAGTTCTATATGGTACCCATCCTTTCTGATACTGATTTTGAAGACAGAGTAGCCTTTACCTTGGACTATTTTTTAACTTCCACATGTCTAAACCTATACTGTATACATAGCTCAAATAGAGACTATGTGACTGACAGATTTTTGAATCTCAAGACAGCCACTCCCATGTACCCCCCGATTAACCTGTTTTGAAACTAATGTCCCATTTTGTATTCACTGTATCTGAAATAATTACTTGATATTTAAATGTAGGTTGTAAAAGATTGGGAGGGATGAGCTACGTTACCTTATTTATTTAATTTCTTCTTTCTTCAGATGTAATTTCAGTGACAATTATCAAGAATAACTTAACTGGGAAAATGCTGTTTCTAAACTTTAATAATTCATCCATCATTTAAACAGAAAGCTCTGCGACTTTTTTTTAATATACTATAGTAGCATTTCAATATGAAATATGGACATTCATTAACTATTTGACTTTCATTCTTCTTTTGTGTGATATTAATATTTTAATAGACTGAAAATACCAAGCTTCAGTCATTTAATCTTGATAAGCTATGGATACATAGTTTAGTCTATTAGTTAGAATACAATTTATGAGTAGAAATATAACATCAGCACTTTTAACAGTATATGAAATTAATTCCATTAATTTGAAACGCTATGACTACTGCTACAATTGCCATTTACCAAGATTCACTAGAGGATTTACAGGCAAAAAGGTACTTTTATTAATTAACATTCTTCTAAAAATGACATAAGAACTTATAAAAACAAATACTTATTATATGTAACAGGCTTTTGGCAGTGTTTCTGTTTTGCATTTGATAGGATTTTGTGTATCTCTTGTTATAAAGACTCTTCCCCTAACTAGATGCAACATCTACTGAAATCACAGGTAACTGTATTCAAGTCTGAAAACATATGGCCTTTGCTCTGAATAGATTTTCTTTTGGCCTCAAAGGTTATAAAGCACAAATGCAGATTTTTCTGGAAAAGGTAATCATCATTGATGACGACAACAACAAACTAAATCAGTTTTAAAAGCTCTTTTTTGTCCAGGCCTGAAGTCTTAGAATTAAGTATAACTAACAGGAAAACTAAGTTCAGAGACCACTGTGGTTTAAAGATAATTCTATATGTACTGTCAACTACTGAGCCTAAGACACATCAGCATAAAGAGTGAAAGACTCCTGCAGGGATGGCTTTCTGTGAAAGCAGGCTTACGCTGCAGTTAGGTATCTATGAGCACCAATCCATGCTTCACACAGACTGTTTTCTTGTGGTTAGATATTTCCCTCACAGGACCACAAGGATTTACACAACCATTTCTCTAATAGCTTCTAAAACTCAGGATCTGCACAAAAAATACCTTCTCAGAACTTAAGATTTTCAGTAGGAACTTCACCAAAATTCTCAAATAACAACAAATTACAAAGCTAAAAGAATAATATAAAGGGGAAAGCCATAAATACCTCTGCTGTCATACTAAGAAGTTTAACAAATAAAACTGCAACTTTTTAGAGGTTAAAATGAACCTGGTGTTTCTTTTTTCTTTCACTTCAGTAACAGGAAGTGGTGAGCTGCAAACATTTCTAGAGCAAGCCTAATGACATGTGCTACCACTTCCTGTCAAGTACACTTGCATGGCTAAGTACAAGCAACATTTTGGTTACAGTTAAATTTAAATTACACCATGTACAACATTCCAATGACTACAGCATTGCAAAAGTAATTATTGACAGAAAGCTTCCTTTTTCTTATTACACAGTGACACACTGGGATACAAAAGTTTGAAAAGATACTCAGGTCGAAAAGAGTCATTGGCAAATGACTCAAGGTTGACTGCAAAGGATTACACAGCTTTCACAGTTCTAAAATGCAACGTGCAGTGGTGTTCTCTCCAGTAGGGAGAAAAAGCCCAGAAACATTCAGACATCCCTCTGAAGTTTTAGAAAACACAGACTCAGTTTAATTCTTAGAATGCAAAAGCTAACAGGGTAATTACTTAATTGCTAAAGCAGAGTTGCCACACAAGTCTGACATGCTGGTGTCCACCTAGCAAGCCAGTACATGTTAGACACAGATACAAGAGCATCTGTTGCAGGTTGCAGTCTGCAAGGATGAAGTCCAAGTTCAGACCCAAACTGTACATTTGTTAAGACTGTAATTGCTTGTATTTCCCTTGCAGCACGGGGTAAAAGTAGCTGAGGGCTTACTGTTCTTCAAAATCCTTTCCAGGTTCTTGCTAACCATAGGCTAGGGATGCATCCTCTCTCCTCAGATTACCAAGGGTATTTTCTCCCACAGTTTCCAACAAAACCCCGTCAAGGAACACACTGTGCAGAGAAATATGCACACTAAGCAAAAGTCAGTGCCATTAGTGACACACAAAGACTTACACAAAAAAAACCATGAGAGCTGCACATTGCCATATTTACCTTGTATCACTACACAAAGATAATAAAATTCACCAGCTAGGATATACCATTGTCCAACACCATGCAGCTAAATATCAGAGGCCAGGGAGACCAGTTTCGTTTACGCCAAGAAGTCATGCTCATCTCGTACTCAGAAAGCTCTTCTGCCGCTACTTCTTCTGCTACTCTGCTCCCTATTTACACGTTCCCTCTTATTCTGGTCAACCTGGGCAGATTTTACTGATAATTAAAGTGTAATGCAATAATTTTAGAGACATTGGGAAATGTTTCAAAGAGCTGCATTACAATACTAAATACACAGGACTGCTTTTCCAGATTTAGTACCCATGGCTTTCTACTATGAACCTTGACAAAGCCAGTCTGACACAATTCTTACAGGAATGTAGGGACAAACTGAGCAGAGATGCTGAAACAATTCATTTTGCTACTTTAGTTTTTAGAACAGTAGCTTACTCTCAAGGCATCACTGTTACTCATTTCTCCTCCCCTCCTCCCTGACTTTAACCCTGCAGTCATCAGAGCTAGATAGTATCTCAGGTTTTCCAGTGTTACACAATCATTTTCAGCTAGGTTTCTACTACAGCTTTTCCCTACACAGGACCCCTACCTGGATTACAGATTGCCTTGTTTCTTCTTTTAAACAAACTTCTGTGGCAGAAAATGCTACAGCACAAAGAAATCAAAGAGATCGAGCAAAAGTAAACCATTGCAACAGTACCAACAAATACTTCCTGAAGGTAAAGGTTTCTCTGGTGTTCAGTCTGCTTAGCAAGAAGGTATGGGGAGGGCCATGTTCTTCAATAACACAAGTAGTGAATGACAGAAATAAAACACATACAAATTAATGCAAAAAATATTTTTTTAAAAAATCTCAGGCAGCCACTGGCATGCAAGTATTAGAATTCTTAGTATTTACATGTATTACACTGTTAACGAGTACTTTAATTTTTCATGTGGTTCAACATTAGTTTGTAGCAGCTGGACCTTACATATGAGAAAGCTGTATGATCAGATGATAACTCCCGTTAATTTTTCACTCAAGATGATTTAATAGACTTCACTTCACTAAGTTCATAGAGTCTGTATATTTAATAACAATTTTCTGATTCAGCTGTAGCAAGACATCAGCCAGGAAATCAGGCCCCGGATTGCCAGGTACACACAAATGTCAGTTTCTGAGAGTGCGCTACCCTGGATATACACCACAGTAAAGTATTCTTCATTTCTGGCAAAGCAATACTTTATGAATAATGGAAAAAATAAGTGCTAAATGCATTTTAAATGGTTGTGGGGGTTTTGTGTGGTTTTGGGGTGTTTTTGTCGTCTTTTTTTTTTTTTTTTTTTAAATATATGCCAAGGCAATTTTAAAAGTGATTAAACACCAAAAACGGGCAAAGAAGCTGTGAAAAAATTAATACCTGATTTGGTTGCTACAGTCTCATTTTAGACCCATTTACCAAAGAACATAAAAGATGCACCACAGTATCAAAACTTGTTTATCAAGCTAAAAATTAAGTGATCTTTTTTGCATAATCTGCACATAATAAAACCCTAACCCTCTTAAAGAGGTTACCTTCCTACTTATCTAAATCTTACCTTACTTTTTTGATGTAAGAATGGAATACATAAAATTAAATGGAAATAAAAGATTTTTCCAGTGGGATTCACCACTGGATCTAGACCACAATGAAAGTGAACTCTTTACAAGATGGGGGAAGAAATAAAGGTACAAAATCTCTTTACCCTTTCAGGCAATACAGTATCAGAACAATGGGAATTTATGCATCAGCTTTCAAGCTGGGTTTGTTCCAACTCCAAAGTAGGTCCTTCCTATCCTACTGTGTTTATATGTTGGGGTTTTGAATTTTTTTTTTCAGTAGGAAGAGCTGGAGAGGGAGAAAATTTTGCCATTTCTTTACTGCAAGACAAAACATGCAAGAGTCTTCAAGA